AGTTTTTTGCAGACAACCCTATATCACCGTGTTCGCAATAAAACAACGCTTATATTGATATAAAATTTTTTCTATTATCCAATCGAGTGAAGGTAACTGGCATCGACATACCTGTTTATACCTGACAACCCAGTAGTTTGTCCAGGTAAATAATAGGCAACCCAACGACTGCACATTCTATACGTTTCATACTTTAAGTCAGGGTAAAAATTTTCTTATTATCTTGATGTTGCAAAAATAAAAAAAAAATCATTTTATTTAAATAATTAAAAATTGTCTGTCCAGGATTTTTTTAGGCAACCCATTTTTAACATATTTTCTAACATACTAAATTTGTTATAAAATATGATTCATTCTATTATCAGCTCGGTGAAGATCGTTTTTAGTTCGGATCTTAGACTATAACGCATTTTATTCTATCATAAACACGTCGGACGATTCTGACGTTGGGTATCTTCTTGAAGTAGATATAGAATATCCTACAATACTTCACGATATCCACAAAGATCTACCTCTATGTCCGGAACGTTTGATTCCACCAACGGGTCAAACAAAACAGCCGAAATTATTGACAACATTGTTTGATAAAAAAAACTACGTAATACATTATAAAAATCTCAAACAGGCTCTTCAGTTAGGTTTACGTGTTACAAAAATTCATAAAATATTACAATTTAACCAATCTCCGTGGTTGAAAACCTACATTGACCTAAACACACACTTGAGGCAGCAAAGCAAAAACGAATTCGAAAAAATTTTTTTAAAATTAATGAATAATGCCGTTTTCGGCAAGACTATGGAAAACGTTCGGAAATATAAAGACGTTAAACTGGTAACAAGTTGGTCGGGACGATACGGTGCAAAGAGTTATATTTCAAAACCAAATTTTCATAGCTTAACAATTTTCGACAATGACATGGTTATCATTGAAATGAAGAGATTGAATATTAAATTTAATAAACCCATTTACGCTGGTTTTAGTATTTTAGAAATTTCAAAAACATTTTTATACGATTTTCATTATCATTATATTATACCAAAATTCGGCAAGGATGTAAAACTCTTGTATTCAGATACAGATTCGTTAATATATAATTTTTACGTTGACGATATTTATAAATGTATTCGAGAAGATATTCATAAATTTGACACTTCTGATTATCCTCCCGATAACATTTATAATATTCCTTTGGTTAATAAAAAAGTTTTGGGATTGATGAAAGACAAAAACAACGGTAGAATTATGCACCAATTTATCGGATTAAAATCTAAAATGTACGCGATCAAATTATATTATTCAAATGTAGAACGAGAAAAATCTTCTAACAAAAAAGAAGTCGAAACTATTAAAAAAGCCAAAGGTATTACCGGTTCGTCATTAAAAACAATCACTTTTGAAGACTATTATAATTGTCTGTTTGATAAAACTCAAATGTATAAGAACGAACATCTGTTTCGTAGTAAAAACCATGAAGTTTTTACGGTAAACCAAAGGAAAATTGTTTTAACACCGTTCGATCATAAGAGAGTGGTTAATTATATATTTACTGATACATTTCCTTGGGGATATAAAACAAACTAAATTTTATGTTAAAAAAATATTCACTTGTTTTAATTAATACAATTTCATAAGCAGCAAAAACTCAACAATTCTAAATAAGACATTATTAAAAGGTAAGAACCTATTTGTTTTCTGTAGTCATAATTTAATACAATTTTTTTTCGCAGCATTCTAACGTCGAGTCACTGAAAATTTGCGTTAAAGTGTTTAGTCAAGTACGAAGCAGCAGCAGCCATGAATAGTGATCGTTACGTAACAACAACCGAAAAAAAAGTGAAACACGATGTTTCGGAAAACTCCAAAGTCTACTACTACTACTATAACGGTACCAAGTACTGTAATAGCTGTAACAAATCTTTTTGCTTTTGTGAAGAATCCATTAAAAATCATCCAATATGTAATATAAAATATTGTTCGCAATCAACAAGTCGTTCGAACAATATAAGTTTATATTGCGACGAAGTTATTCCATCATCGTCGTCGTCGTCGTCGTCGTCGTCACCACCAGCGGCCAAAAAAACAAGAATTTAGAACATACCCTATAGAAGAAGAAGAAGAAATACGTTGTGGTGTTTAGCAAATTTATATCCGATGTCAATATTTTGTAAATGTTTTCAATAAATCATCAATTTTATAGGTGCACATTTATTTAATTGTATTCACCTCGACAACCTTTTTAGATATTATTTTGTTTTCCATTCAAACTTATCAATGTAAATGTTTTAAATAAATCATCAATTTTATCGGTGCACACTTATTTAATTATATCGACCAGCGCGCATACACGACGCGATAACGTGCCGGCCCAGTTACGCTAAGGGAACAGCGCGCGTCGGCGGCGGCGTTTATCCGAAGGTTCGAGGTTCGAATCCCGCCCGCGAGACATCGGCGGTCGCTTTTTTCGGCTCTCAAAAATTTCTCACCCCTGCACCCCCCCCCCCCGTAGTGCCGAAAAGGCACTACGAAATTTATTTTTTCTACGAACCCCTTTTTTTACCGGGGTGCAATTGCCAAAAAGGCACTAGCGACTATGACGTCATAAAATGTTTTTAATCAGTGACACCACTTTTTCCCCAAGGGGAGGCGCCAAAAAGGCACTATGACGTCACACCTCGACACAGGTGTAATTACCTTACCCACCCCCAGGGGTCCCCATACACCTGTGTAAACCCTAATGGTGACAGTTTCCACTTCTTCGGCGTGACCTTCACTTCTTTTACATGACCCCTTACGAAGAACTGGCTTTGGTACACTGCTGATGGAAAATGCCATCGGTGACCTTGAATCGTCACAGTCCCGCGTTAGAATAACTACTGTGAGAATAACTACTGTGACTTGAGGCAGCTGTTTGCTATAATTATAAATTTACTACGTCTTTGAATGAGAGAGTCTCCACTCTCGGGACTGATTTGAGGCGGTTGTTCGCTATAATTATAATTTTCTACGTCTCCGAACGAGATTGTCTCTACTCTCGTGAGTCTCCACTCGCGTGAAGGGCTTGAGGCAGCTGTTCGCTATAATTATAAATATTATAAATATAATATTATAAATATAATTATAAATATTCTACGATCATATACTGACGCTGAAGCTTCTTCAGACGAAAGTACATATGAGGAATCGTACGAAACCCCTTTATCGGAAACTGAATTATCGAGAAATAGATTCTCGGCCGTAGAAAGACATTTGAAAAAACTAAGAGATGATAATCGCGACTATGATAGACTATTTGGGGTACGCTACAAAAGTGAAGACGCAGAGATGTTTATCGGGGACTCGGAAATAAAGTTTGTTTCAGGCAAGGTTATTTTGTATCGAAACGATCAAAAAATTGGTGAATATGACGGTTCTGTGCCATTGTATGATTTACTTTTTTTTAAATATCCGAAGGCATTATTACTATACCCCGAAAAAATTCCTAAATATGTCTGTGATATATATACAGATATAATATTGAAAACAAATGCAATTTATCAGAATTACACAAAGAGGAACGGAATAAATAAATCCAGAACTCGCAAATTTAATGAAATTATAAAGCCGCTTTTAATAAAAAAAGGAATTTATAGCATTCAGAGAAAGGACGGAAAAGGTTTAAAAATGAAATTAACAAAAGAAATACTGGGGCAGAAATCTTTTAACAATAAGAAAAAGGAATATGTATATTGGAAAAAAGTACCCGAGCTGATTGCGAGATTACGTTTGTTGTGGGGATCTAAATCTGCTGGACATTCGGGTCATGAAAATGAAATTTTATCTATTATAGAAGAATTACGCGAGTAAAAAATAATTTATTAGGTTTAAAAACATTTTCTCTATTTAATTAGCTTTAGTAGGCTTTTGAGTATGGCAGGAGCAAATACGATTGATAAATTTGGACGCCGTAGAGGTTATGATAAACCTTTGATCGGGGGGCGGAATGGTTCATTTAAACTGCTGCTGATAGATGGGCACTTCGATGCCGGGGGTAAAAGATTATCAAATGTTGCCCCTCCGGCTCACTCTTTAGATGCTGTAAATAATAAATACTTAGAGGTTCGTTTGGAAAATATGTTTAAAACAATTATAACATTATTGGGAGACTGTATTAAATCGGAAACTAAACAATTCGATGAGATGATAAACAAGAATTTTCAAAATATTGGAGATGCAGTACGGAGAGGTAAAGAGCTTTCTAGCAAGATTGCAAAGCTAGAAAGAGATATGTCAGAAGGTCCGTTGGTGATGGTTATAGGGTACCGAGCCACTAAAAAACTACATAATTCATTTAATTAAGGCCGGTCCAGACACTCCGTTTTGCACAACGTTTTGTCTCCGCAGTTCAAGACGTTGCAGACAAAACGTTGCGTGTGGACCGGAAAACTGCGCAGTTTTGAGTACGTCGGGAGGACTACACAGTTGCAGCGATAACTGATCTCGTGAGCTCTGAAAACCGTGACCTGCGCAGACATGTCGTTGCGTGTGGACACTTACTCCGTTTTCCAATCCGTTTTGTTCCTCAGTTTTCTCTAATCATCCGACCATGGCAGATCTGCGGCAATGTTCTCGCGAGTTTTTGACGGATTTTATTTCACATTATGAAAGTTTTCCGTGCCTTTGGCGAGTTAAATCTAAAGAGTACAGTGACAGGGACAAAAAGGGGGAAGCGTACGAGAGATTGGTTGAAAAGTTCAAAGAAATAGATGTCAACGCGAGTAGGGAGACAGTGGTGAAGAAAATCAATTCTTTGAGAAGCGTTTATCGCAAAGAATTGGCAAAGGTAAACAAATCGATTCGATCTGGGGCTGGAGAAGACGAAATTTACAAGCCATCTCTGTGGTATTTCGATTTGCTGCATTTTCTCAATGATCAGGAGACACCAAGGCCGTCGAGGAATACCATGGACGAAAGTGAAGAGTCTGTAAACTGCGACGAATCATCACAACTGGTAAGAAAAAAAACAACAAAATTTCCTATTATTACCTAATCGCTTTATTAACTGAAACATATTCTTTTATTTAATAGGTACAATCAGCTTTTACAATGTTTATTACAAGTGTCTACTAAAAAATTACAAGTACCAAATAATTATTTATGTACGCCATTAATTGTTTAAAGTTATAAATCTATCTTGCCAAGGAACAGACCCCTCATTGTTAAAGTACTCCTTGAAATGATCTCTGACCCCGTTAGCATTGTTCAACATGTGGCCTCTTGGTCCACGCTGTAGGTCGTGCACTAATTCTGGGTTACATCTTTCACCTAATTGAACAGTACATTCAGAAATATTTTCCTGATCCATACTTTCAGGAGGGGTGTAGTTTTGGGGGGACTTTCTCCGCAAAAAGTTGTGTAAAGCGCAACACGCAAGAACTACAGTATCGACGTTGTGCATCTTTAAATTAATACTTGTGTGGAAAATAAGAAATCGGGAAGCCAAAATGCCGAATGTGTTTTCAACAACACGCCTCGCCCTAGATAGGCGGTAATTAAAAATTCTTCGGTCCCTTGTTAATGTTTCTCGTCGATATGGTTTGAGAAGGTCTGGACGCATAGCGAAGGCTTCATCCCCAACAAAAACATATCTTAAAACTCTGTTTGAACTTCCAATGGATCGGGGTTTTGGAATTTTTAACTCGTTGTTAACGAGTTTTTCATAAAATTGAGTGTTATTTATGACTCCTCCATCTGAGATCCGACGGTTTGTTCCTATATCACAATACAAAAACTCGCAATTGGCATTGGCTATTGCCATAAGAACAACACTGTGTGTTTTTTTGTAATTGAAATAATAGGACCCACTTCCTTTAGGTGGCACAATTCTAATATGTTTTCCGTCAATTGACCCTAAACAATGAGGGAACTGCCACATTCTTTCAAACTCCGCTGCAACTTCCATCCACTCCTCTTCAGTCTTGGGAAACTGAAACAAAACAAAAAAAGAAGAAATATTGCAAGAGTTTCATCATTGAAAATTTGTAAAAATAATAAAAATATGGAGATCAATAATACATTTATTGTTTAATATTTTCAGGTGGAAGACGATGTGCAAGAAACTGTTATTGACAGTGGGCCCAGTGAAGCTGCTACTACCCCTGCTACTCCTGCTTCCGAAGCATCTACGAGTACTTCCCATTCTGTCAATACCTCGCACAAGTTAACTCGTAACAAGAGGAAGACTGTTGGGAATGATGATGGCACAATTGAAGTCCTGCAGGTGATAGGGAAGAAACTGGAATCGCTACAGGCAGATGATGCATTTCAGGTATTCGGAAAACATGTGGCTAATAAACTCAGAGAAGTCCCGAATTCACAAAACATAATTGCTCAGAAACTAATTTCCGACGTTTTATTCGAAGCTGAGTTGGGTACGCTTACCAGAAATTTTCGAATTGTTGACATGAAAAGCCAGCGACAAGATGATTTTGGTTCAATGAATGCCACGAATTATTGGCCTCAACAGAATACGCCACATCAAATCAGAATGCAACAAAATCTTTCTTCACAAGTTGGACAATGCCACTCCTTCTCGCAGCAGCCGCAGCCTATGCCACATAACTACGCCCCAGAACAAATACCTCACACTCAGGAGTATGAAACAATTGGGAACATTCCGGCAGTTTCATGCATCATCCCACAGCAAGGTGAACAACATGTACAGACACGCGCCCACCAAGCCCCTGCCCACTCTCCCGTTGGAACCTACTTGTCATCATTTCAACCAAACTGAAGTATACTTGCGTGCATTTCTATTGCTTACCATAATAACTTTTCTACAATAATAAAGTTTATAATGTTCAATTAAATAATAAATCGTTTATGGAAAATAACAATATTTCTTACCTTCAAGTAATCCTTCTTCAGCACCTTGTAGATAGCTTCATATGTCTTTGTAACTTCTGCCGGTTGCCAAAAATCTTAAAGTTGCTGTTAGCCTTTCATGTGGTGATATTGCTGCTCTCATACAAGTATTTTCTTTCTTGATATGCGGTGTCACTAATTCCAATAAGTAAATATACGTGTCCATGTCCATTCTCAAGTAGTTTCGCCAATCATTAGGTTCGTCACGTAATTCACTCAATAATCTTGTATGGGAAAAGTCCCGCCTTTTTAAAAGCCATTTCCGTGACCATTTTGAACGAACGGTTCCTCTGATGTGTTCCAATCTTTTTTTTTTTTACAATACAGCAGGCGAAAATTGACCACAGGAGAACCTCCTCCATGGCGATATCACACAAAACTGAGCGGAAAATACAAGACTGCACCGTCAAGACTGTACCGTCTGGACGCTCAAAGTTGCAACGGTTTCATTCCGTCTTAAAACTGCGCGGATTTAAAACGTTGTGCAAAACGGAGTGTCTGGACCGGCCTTTACATTATTGAAGGCGATGATCGAATAAATTTCCATTATCCTCAAAAGGTGAGAACTATATTCGTCTCTCATAAAAAAGCTCCCGTTTTAATAAATGCCGACTATACTTCTTTGGACAAAATAAGAGGGAAATGTCTAAAGGAGGGTGATTATATTCAGTTCAAAGCCATCCCTGATGCCGACACTGTATATATAACTATCGTATCTGAATATCTGAAACAGACTAGTGATACAGCCTAACTTAAGAAGATCTAAAACAATTATTCCAAAAGAAAAATAATGGGAGAATCAGAAAATAAAAAAATGGTTCTTCTTAATGAACTATTTAAACCGGCACGCAAAAACTTCGTTCGTAGACATACGATTATCAAGGGATATGGAGACCTATGGCAAGCTGATTTAGCTGAAATGCAACAGTATTCTAAATTCAACGACAACAATAGATATTTTCTCGTAGTTATCGATTGCTATTCAAAATTTGTGTGGACAAATTACCTGAAAAACAAAACAGCCTTAGAAGTTCGACGGAGCCATAAAAAAATTAAAAAACAAAATATCAGTTTTATATATATATATATATATATATATATATATATATATATATATATATATATATATATATATATATATAAACAATTTTCAGGACCCCATTTTGTCAGCAGGCCTAAACGTTATGCCTGATTGATTTAATAAATATTGTAACACATTTGTCACGAGACATATTAAACCCGTTTTTTGTATCCATACGGGTAGGAGCTGTGATTTTCTAAAAATCGCCGTTTAAGGTTAACCGGTTGATATAACTTCGTTTCTTCTTTATTAATGACATCTAGTTTCGCTGTTCTACGAATATTGGAAGAAATTAATGGGACCGGAGCTTTCGACTTGTCCAAAATCATATTCTTTATTAGTTCGAAATTTATTATCTGAGACGCCGCGTAATTCAAGCATATCCCCTTTACTTTACATATTACGCTTTCTTCCCCTGTCGTAGGTGAAAACACAACATATGCGTAATTTTTCGGGCCCCCACTTACAAATTCTGAAATGAAAGATCCGGGGTCGTATTCCTCGAATTCGTCGGTGAGATCTCCAATAAACTCGCCAGTGGGGGGCTCGTATTCACCGGGTTTTTGAATAAAAATAACGGAATCTGTATCGTAATAGAGTACCCTTTCACCTAGCTGGTCTAAATAACTATATAATTTTAAACGAGCCTGTGCGGTTGTATAGGCCGCAATACAAACATTTACTGACGAATGCGAATCGAAAACTTCATCGGAAATCTCATAATTTACTAATAAAGTCTCTTCGTTTATGGGTTCTAAATGATTGACGTGCAAGCATGGATTTATTAACATTTCAAATAATTCAGAAGCAGTGTCTATAATTTTGGTTTTACCTACATTTTCCATTTGGGCAAATTTTCCCCAAAAACTATTAAGATTTAATTTAGCTAAAGATCTCAGCCCCGGGTTCTTTTCGATTTTATTCGGGTTTAGAGTAATACCCTCTTTTTCAAAAAACTCTCGCAAGTAATTATTTTTATCTTCGTCAGAAGAAAAATGCGCAGGCCAGCCGGATGCTTCTTGTTTTATCTGAATAAATTTATTCATCATGTCCACGAATAGTCCTCCAGATTTTGAAAGTGGATCGTACTGAGATACTTGATAAGACCAAATCTCGAAAATATTTAGAATTGTATAACCTCTTTCTATAGCTTTTTTAAGCTCGTCACTGACCCATGTCCCGAAAAGACTCCTTTCTTCTTCAGTATGTTCGCATCTGTTTTGGTAAAACTTTTCCCCACATGTCCGACATAAAACAAACATTAACTTATTATTCATCTTTGTAGGTAGTACGGGGTGGTACAGATTTTGTGGTGGTAGGATCTGGCATTTTACAAGCCCTTCTACCTCATTAAAATTTAAATTTTTACAGTCTTCGCCAGCAATCACTTTTGGATGCCCGATCGGGAATTTTCCAAATTTACAAATATATGGATAAAGTGAGCACACATCGAGGTACCTGATTTTTTCATCATCTTTGATTTTATAGTACTCCGAGGTGTTTCCTGTCCTACCTCCGTAAAGAGCATCCCTTGGAATTAAAGGAGTATTTTTTAACAAAGGATGTTGGCTTAAATATTCGTATGGCGCTGTATTATTCGATAAAAACTTTTTAAAGACACATTCCCACATTATTATGACTTCGTAACCGGCATTTGTTAAGCGATCTATTTTACAAGTAGTAGCCTCGAATCTGGAATTCATGGTGTCGTAAGGATTATTTTTATTTATTGGTTCGTTTTTTTTATTTTTGTAGCATACAGGATGTCCGTGCCAAAAACAATGTTGAAATTCGAAAATTTCGTTGTTTTCCGGGCAGAAACCATCCACTTTGGCACCCGCTAAGACGCTTTCTTTCCCATTTAGTGCGTGTAAAATTTTTATACCCCTTTCACATTCTTCCCAAAGTAGCCACATCATTGCTATTTGTGAAACCTTTTCCGAAGCTCGATAACCTCCTTTAGGTATAATTGCTATAGTTTCTGGTTTTAAAAAATTCCTTCTAAAAATCTTGCTGCAGCAAGATGCTATTGTTGAACTTTCTAAGAAAGGGTGCACTGTGGTGGTTTCAATCAGTGGCGGTTCCTCCATAAGTGCACATGTGCACGTGCACCCCCCAAATTTAATGCCCGCTCGGAAAAAAAATTATTTATGTAATTATATCCTACAATTCTCTTAATCCTATTTATAAAAAAAAACGATTCATCAAAATTCATAAAATTGAAATTAATACATAAAAAACTAGGAATTTCTTATCGGCCGTCACCGCGACCGCCGCGCCGGTATAAATCATTGTATAAACAAAACTCCAAACCCCCTTTGCCAGCAGCCGATTCCGCCGATCGTAAAATGCTTCGTTCACTGCTCATGGAACTAATAGATCTGATTGGTCAATCATCCGCCGCCCGCACTCTTTGTTTCCCGCGGCGGTCTACCGATCTAAGCTGACCCGTGTGCACACGTAATGAGTGCACTTGTAGTTCGCGTTTGCAAATATAATAGCCGATGACGCGTGCGTGTTGAAAATTAGTATTCGAAAAATAGTTTTAAAACTCTGTTAAAATGACGGACAATTATAACGTGCAATATTTAAAGACAATTAAATTTTCTTCTCTTCCATTGGAAGAAAAAATTAAAATTAAAAGTGTTGGACGTCCCAAACCGAATGTGTTAATTATTAATACAACTAAATGCAAAAATCGAGAATATAAACGTACTTTTAAAATAGAAATGTATGAAAAAACTGACTGGTTGTGCGGGTGTGATGTGAGTAATAGTCTCTACTGTTTTCCATGCTTATTATTTTCAAGCGATCAGGCATCAGATCCATCAGAATGGACAAAATCCGGAGTAAAAGATTTAGTTCATTTATCCGAAAAAATTAAAAAACATCAGAATTCTAAATCACACTTATCTGCCAAATTAGGATTTAATTTATTGGGAAAACAAGATATTAGACAGCAATTAAATAGTGTCTATCGTTTAAGCATAGAAAAACATAATGTCCAAGTAAAAAATAATAGATATGTTTTATCAAAAATTATAAACTGTGTAAAATTTTGTGGTGCGTTTGAACTTGCCCTCCGCGGACATCGCGAAAAAGAAGATTCTGTAAACCCTGGTATATTTAGGGGACTCATTAATTTTTCTGCTGAACTGGATATAGCACTGAGGGATCATTTGCAGCAAGCCACCATATTTAAAGGAACATCAAAAGACATTCAGAACGATTTATTGGAATGTATGCTCTCTGTTTGTCAGGCACATATCAAAAAAGAAATTGCGGCATCAAAATTTGTATCTATTATGAGTGACGAAACCAGTGATATTTCAAATATTTTTCAAATGGTTATAGTTTTCCGTTATACATTACCGAATGGCAGCCCCGTTGAGAGATTTTGGACATTTGTAAAACCAAATGAACATGATGCTGTTGCCTTAGCTGGCTGCATAGAAGAAGCGTTAAATTATGTTTTAAAAAATCCGGATCAATTAATTTCCCAAAGTTATGATGGAGCAAGCGTCATGAGTGGCGCTCAAGGTGGTGTTCAAAAACTTATTAAAAATAAATTTAAATACGCTCATTACATCCACTGCTATGCACACCAGTTAAATTTAATAATGTCTCAGGCAACAAGCATAAATACAAATGCACGCATTTTTTTTGCCGAACTTAGTGACATTACTAATTTTTTTTCAAATTCACCACAAAGAGTTGCGATACTGGATGAAGTGGTTGGAAATAGAGTTCCAAGTGCATCTGCTACCAGGTGGAACTTCAAAATTAGAACTGTGAATACCGTATATGAAAACCGGAAGGCACTTATAGAGTGTATGGAAAAAATACAATCCACATCCAGACAATCCGATACAATCACGAAGGCAGGCGCACTTTTAAGATTATTGTATGATCCTAAGTTTATTTTTTGGTTATCCGTTTTTCATCGAATAATGCCTCACGTCAATATTTTATATTCACAACTGCAAAAAAGATCAACTGATTCGGTAACCGTAAAAAGATGTATTAATGAATTTGAAAAAAATATACAGAAAGAACGGGAGACAATTCAATTGACAATTGAATTAGCAAACATGGATGAAAGTCAAACTAGAAAAAGAAGAAAGACAGAAGAGAGGCAT